TATACTGAAGGAGACAGTCTTTATTAGGGGAGACAGTTTTTAATATAGAGTGATTCCTTTAATAAAGAGTGTATCTTCTAGTAAATTATTAATTGTAGATAGTAGAAGAGACAGTCTCTATTATAGGAGACAGTTTTTATTATTTGAGAAAGGCTTCATTAAAGGAGACAATTTTTTTAAAGTAGACAGCCGCAGAGAAGACACACTGACAAGGAGGGAGAGACTGTCTCCTTTAAAGGAGACAGTCTCTCCCTCCGTTAATGAAATAGATGTTTATGATATATGCATATCTAAATAGATAATGCATGCAAATAAACATTATTTTTGTTTGAGTACGCAGCTAAATAATGTCCGTTTATTTGTTGCATCTGCATCCAATTATATCATCCACATGAAAAGATATAAATATAAGAGGTATTAATAATATCTTTTATATTTAAACCTCTTCATGCAGATGTTTACTACTGTCATCCCACCTCCATGTACACCCCAAACCAACCGCATACACCCCAAACAACGTACACCTGAATGCATGCACAGCTAAACCCTGCAAATAGAAACACTGCTACTCCAGCAGTGTCTCCTTTCGCCTCTTTCTCCTAAGCAGTGAGGAGACTCTTAGCTCTCCATACACCCCACAAAGACCTCCTCAGTGTACAGACAGCCCATAGGGCCCCCTTCTCCTGTACATACACCCCAAGGGCCACTTTAATATATCGAAAGAAGCCCCTTCTTCTCTTCAATTCACAAACGTCTCTCTGTCTCCTGTTCAGAGGAACCACCACCTTCTCCGATTTATAAATACAAACACCCATAAACAAACATTCATAAGGGGCCCCTTCTCAGCTTTATATAAAGCCTCTCTAAGGCCTCCTTAGGCCCCCTCCTTATATCAATAAGGCCCCCCTAATGAAACCCCACAAGGACCCCCTACCTACGCTTACAACACCCTCTCTACGGTTACAAAGGGGACCCTACCTATTTAGGTGTATAGGCATCCCTTATTTAGGTCTATAGGGGCCCCCCTGTTTAGGTGTATAGGGGCCCCCTATTTAGGTCTATAGGGGCCCCCTCCCTATGCTTGTCGGGGACCCCTCTTTAGTGTATACAGGCCCCCTTTTGAAGTGCATAGGGACCCCCTCTTTAGGTGTGTATGGGCCCCCTTTGAAGTGTATAGGGGCCCCCTCTTTTAGGTGTATAAAGGCCCCCTGTTTAGGTGTACAGGGGCCCCCTACAGATTTTAATTGGGGCCCCCCTTTCAGGTGTATAGGGGCCCCCCTTTTAGTGTACAAAGAGCCCCTGTTTAGGTGTATAGGGGCCTCCTTTTAGGTGTATAAAGGCCCCCTGTTTAGGTGTATAGGGACCCCGTTTTAAGTGTGTAAAGGTCCCCTGTTTAGGTGTATAGGGGCCCCCTTCTTAAGTGAATAAAGGCCCCTTGTTCAGGTGTATAGAGGCCTCCTTCTTAGGCGTATAGAGGCCCGCTGTACATGTGTATAGGGGCCCCCCCGGATGTTAATTGGGGCCCCCCTTTCAGGTGTATAGGAACCCCCCTTCAGTGGTGTAGAGGGTGCATGCACTTGCAAATGCCTCTTTCTTTGATTAAAAGGCACTTGTGTATTTTCTGGAAAACAAACAAAAGTTCGTTCGACGCGAATGGAGGCAGAAAAGAATCGTCACCTCTTCTGGTGCAAACCCAGCAACTCTCACACCTCCTATATATATTATATATATATATACATATATATATATATATATACGTATATATATATATATATACATATATATATATATACGTATATATATAATATATATAATATATATATATTTAAAGATTGATGTACATATACACACATATATACAATATATATAAAATACATATATGGATGTATAAAATATATGATACATATATATTCTATATTTGCATATATAAATAGATAGAAGGTGTATTGTATGTATATTATATACAATGCATATATTGTATAAGATGCATTTGAATATAATAATAAATAATGATGTTGTTTGCTACATTCGTGCAGATAAAAAGCCAGCGGGATTTTTGGGGTGTATGTACAATAAGAGTAGGGTTTAGGGTTTAGGGTTTAGGGTTTTTAGAATTTTTTATGTGATATCTTTAATCTTTTTTTTTTGTTTTTTTCGTTGATATGTCTCTTCTGTCTCTGCAGCTTCGATTCCCTTTTCATGCTTCTTCTTTTCTTTTGTTTCTTCTGCTATTTGCATAAATTTAAACTCGAATAAAGCTCTTTAATCTCTTTAATAAACCTATTCTTGGCTGCGTGACGGATCAACTTCATTGTGGGTGTTAACAAACCGTTCTCAGGTGTAAATGTATCATCTGTTAGCCAAATAGCTCTTATTAACTCAAACCCTTTAAGCTGTGCACGCCCTAATAACTCTAAGTCTTTTAGTATCTCCGCTTTCAATGCTTCATCCTTTAACAATGCCTCCATCGGCTCCCCAGCCTGTATGCACACACCCCAAACCCTAAACCCTAAACCCTAAACTCCAAACCCTAAACCCTAAACACCAAACCCTAAACCATAAACCCTAAATTCCTAGTATCGTCGAGCTGCTCCAAACGATATATCCCCCAGCCATAAAACCCTCACCTTGCCCTTGGTAACCCTAAACCCTAAACCCTAAACCCTAAACCCTAAACCCTAAGCCCTTGGAGTGAAACCACTCACCTTGTTGTTCTTCTCTGCCCACTTCCGCACCTCTGTAGGTGAAGGGACGATGATAGCAACCAGCACAGCCTGAAACCCCAACCCAGAAAGCGCAAATTCTAAACCCTAAACCCTAAACCCTAAACCCTAAACCCTAAGCTCTAGGCCTAGGGTTGTGAAGCTCTAAGATTCGTGTTTATAGGAGTTATCATTGTAGAAGACACTTTATTTTTAATTCAGGTGTATATACACCTCAAGTGAATCCCCGTAAACGAAAATCTGTTCAACCCAACGGCTTGCACTGTAAATGTTTTCGAGCCTCTCTGGTGCTATGTACTCTCCCTGAAACAAACAAGTGCCGAAAAAATAAATAATAAATAATTACAATAAATTAATGTAATACATAAATATAATAAACAAATATAATAAATATAATAAATACACACAATAAATAAATACAATACACCAGACAAATATAATAAATAAATACAGATTCAATGTATAAATAAACAAATACAATAAAAAACAATAAACAAATACAATAAATGAATGCAACAAAGACAGCAAATAAATACAAAGAATAAAGCATTTCAAACAAATGCAATAAAGAAGATATATCAATAGAGTAACAAAAATAACAAATACAATAAAACAATAAAAATAATAAACAAACAGAATAAACAAATGTACTAAACAAACACAGCAATAAAAATAACAAACAGAATAAACAAATGTACTAAACAAACACAACAAATACAACAACAAATACAATAAATACAATAAACACAATAAAAAGGAAATGAAAGCCGAGCAAACAAAACAGAGAAATAAAGGGGCTTTAACAAATACAATAAATACAAATACATCAGCATCGCCAGCAGCAACAGCATCAGCAACTGCAACAGCAGCAGCAACAGCAACAGCAGCAGCAACAACAGCAACAGCATCAGCATCAGCATCAGCAACAGCAGCAGCAGCGGCAACACCAACAGCATCAGCAGCATCACCAACAGCAACAGCATTGGCAAGAGCAGCAGCAGCAGCAGCAACAGCAACAGCAGCAGCAACAACAGCAGCAGCAGCAGCAACAGCAGCAACAGCAACAGCAGCAGCAGCAGCAGCAGCAGCTGTACATGTGCGAGTTTGAAGACATTTTTAACTCTATCGATAATCTTGTGCCGGCCGCTCGGCTGTATCTCCACCACATCTCCTGTGTGCAGCCACTGATCTTTATCGAATGTTTCTGCTGTTTTGTCTGCAGCAAGAAAATACTCCTTCATGAGGCTAGGGCCCCTCACCAGCAACTCTCCTCTGTACCAAACAACACACTAAACCCTAAACCCTAAACCCTAAACCCTAATACACACTCAAGCAAATGCACAACCCTAAACCCTAAAACCCTAAATACTCCACACACTATTTAAACTCTAATAAACCCTAATAAGCCCCTATAAACCCTAATAAACAAACCCTAACAAACCCTAATAAGCCCTAGCAAACCCTAATAAACCCTAATAAAGCCTACTACACCCTAATACGCCGCAGTAAACCCTAATAAACCCTAGCAAACCCTAGTAAAACCCAATAAACACTAATAACCCCTAATAAACCCTAGTAAACCCTAATAAACCCTAGGAAACCCAAATGCACCCTAATAAACACTAATAAATCCTAACAAACCCTAATAAACCCTAATAAACCCTAATAGACCCTAATAAGTCCTACTACACCCTACTAAACACTAATAAACCCTAATAAACCCTAACAAACCCTAATAAACCCTAATAAACCCTAATAAACCCTAATAAAACCCCGGAGCGGTGAGCACCTGGGAGGATTCCCCCTCGCGTCGTATTGCAGGCCTGGTAAGGAGACAACTTTAAATTCAGTTGAAACGAGGGGGCCTCCAATAGTCCCTTTGTTGCTGTCATCAGTGCTCTGCAGGAAGCAGATACCTGTCTCCGTCATACCCCAACCCTGCACCAAAGCAGCAACAGCAGCAGCAATAGCAGCAGCAGCAGCAACAGCAGCAGCAGAAATAGACAAGTGTACACTCCTCTCTCTTTCTTTCCATTTAATTCGTCTGCTTCTTCTGTCTCCTTGGCTATCACTCTCTGTCTGTCTGTCTCTATCTTTCTCTGTCTCCGTCTCTGTCTCCCCTTGGCTGTCTCTGTCTGTCTTTGTTTTCTCGTTTCTGCTTTTGTCTTTGTTTGTCTCCTTTCCCATTCTCTCTGTCTGTCTGTCTGTCTGTCTGTCTCTCTGTGTCTCTGTCTGTCTCTGTCTCTGTCTCTGTCTGTCTCTCTGTCTCTGTCTCTGTCTCTGTCTGTCTGTCTCTGTCTCTGTCTGTCTCTATCTTCCTCTGCTGCTAACAGCCTCTCTGTACGTGCATCTCCGTCTCTGTCTCAAGCGCTGTCTCTCTTGCTGTATCCTTTTCTATCTTTGCTTTCTATCTCTTCTTTCTGTCACCTCTTCGATGTCTTTACTCTGTCTCCTTTTCCCTCCTCTTTCAATCTATATATTAAATTATTTGATATATAATTATATTATATTAAATTATTATATTATATTATATTATATTTAATTAAGTTTTTTGTAGAAAAATTAATTAAATTTTTTGTGTGTTTGAGTGTCTCCTCTTGTGTCTCTTCTATTTGTCTCCTTTACTATTTCTTTTTCTTTTATCTCTGTCTCCTTCAAGTGTCTCCTAAGCTGTCTCCTTTACCTCGCATATAACAGCAGACAAGTATAGCTGCAACTCTAATAACTGCTGCGGATCCATAGGAGCGCTCCCAACACAGACAGTGCGGATGTTGCCTCCCATACTTGCGCGAATGTTGCGGAATAGCTGCATCACAAACCCTAAACCCTCATTATAGACCCTAATTAAACCCTTATTATAAACCCTTATCATTAACCCTTATAATAAACAAATCCTTATAATAACAAGCCCCCATAATAAACCCTTATTATAAAAACCCTCATTATACGCATCAACCATTTTAAACACTTTTAAACCCTAAGTAACCCTCATTAACCCTTACAAACCCTCATAAACCCTAAACCCTAAACCCTCTATATAGGAAGAGTTGCAAGGCCCAACAAGTGCGCAATGAGGGTTTAGTGAGGGTTTAGCTGAGGGTTTATTCAACATGGTTTGCATGCATGTCTACACAAGACAGGATATACCCAACTGTTTGTGTGTAGTGATGGGTTTAGGGTTTAGGGTTTAGGGTAATTGTTAAGTTTCGCGGTGTCTGCTGAGATGTCTCCCAAGAGCTTTTCAAGCACGTCGAAGTGTTTTTCCTGCTTAATAACGAGGGTTTAAGGGTTTAATAACAAGGGTTTAAGTAATACAAGTTTAATGGTTTAATAACAAGGGTTTACAAGGGTTTAATAACAAGGGTTTAAGGGTTTAATATATGAATAATAAGGGTTTGAGAAATTAACAATAAGAGATTAAGGGTTTCTAGAATAAAAGTTAAGGTGTTTGACCCTGCTGCAGTTTAATACAATACTATTTAATTAGTTTATTGATAATATATTATAATATTCATGTTGTTTGTGCTGTAATTAACTTACAAGATCGGGGAGAAAGCTCGTGACGACCCTAGGATTGAGTTTATATTTCTGAACTTTGTTGTTAAGTGCCTTTCCAGCTAACCATTGCAAGAAAGGGTGTTTGTTTCGAATACCGGCATTGATCTTACTAGAGATTTTATTAAAGACACGAGGAACAGCAATAAAGACAGAAGGTTTAGCA